CGAAGAAGCCTATTTCGACGCGCGCAGATGGCACCGCGGTCTACCCGGCAGGTTACATGCGGCCACTTAACATAAACAATACCGACAACCGCATCCTCTGTAGTGCAGTGCGCCTGCGCGTCGAACCGTGGTCGAGGCCGGAGCGTCTCCGGAACAGCGCGGTTTCTTGAACGGGCGTTCCATGCTGGCCAACGTCATCGACATCGAGGAGGAGATGCTGGCAGACGCGGACTTCGAGGCGGCGTTCCCGAGCCTCGACCCGACCTTCCTCCAGCGCGTACTGGCGGAGCGGGGATGGCCCCTATAATTCCGGCGTTTCGTGACCATCTTCTATACCAACAATTTTTGCCAGTTTTCCTTCTCTGTGGCATTACCGCTGGGGTTCGTCAGGGCTGCCCTCTATCTCCCCTTCTGTTCGCCATCATCTCGGACGTGGCGTTGCGACGGATTCGCCGCCTCTGCCCCGAGGTAGTCCTACGCGCGTACGCGGATGACATTGCTCTCGTCCTCCACTGGGGCCCCGCAGACTGTGAATTGTTAGAGCCGATCTTCTACGAATGCGGCCGCGTCTCAGGCCTTCGCCTTCGCAGTGGCAAATCCATCATTGTGCCGCTCTCCCTGCACACGCGCGAGCAGGGACGTGTTGCGGTCGCCGCAGCGGCGACCAGGTGGGGCGCCTTCACCATCTCCAGCCACGCGAAGCACCTATTGGCTGGGCCCCGCCCGGGGGATGCGCCTCTGGGACGAGGTGTTCAAGACGATGCAGGACCGCGCGTGGACGTGGAACAAGATTGGCGGGGGCTTGCTCGCGACGCTGGCAGCGCACCGCATCTACATCCTGCCACTCGCGGGTTTTGCGGCGCAGCTGGACCGCTTCCGCACTGGCCGCAGACAGAGCGACGGCTCCTCGCGGCTCTGTTCCCCAGAGCCCGGGGGTGGACTACCCCAGGTCTCCTGCAGCACCTCCAGAGATTGGGATTCGCTTCAGAACTCCCCAGTGCGGAGGCCATGGCGCAGGGGGCGAAATGTCGTTACTTCCGCTGGGAAAACATCACGGATGGCAGACTGCGAATTACCCGTCGTGCTCGGCGTCTGCAGCGTGCCCGCTCTTCCTCGGGCCACTTGCAGCGCCTCGCCACCTGGGCTCAATGGTTCGACGGCAACTTCATCAGCACGGCCCTCGCGGCGCAGCACCGGCTCGAAGCGACGGCGACGTCCCAGGGGCTCTCCGTGGACTTGTTGATGCAGGGTTCTTCCACATCCCCCACCCTGACGCAGCGATGGCAGCGCCGATGTGGAGGAATACCTTGCGCCCGAGACATGCAGGGTCTCTTCCGGCACCTGCGCCGCAGACTGGACCGGTTGCCCTTGCTCACCCTGCCGGGGCGCCGGGTGCAGCGCTTCGAAGATGCACTCCGCCGCCTCGGGCCATTGGTGCCGCGCTGCGCGTGGGCCGCTGTACTCAAAGCGCTCTTGGATGGTTGGACCGCCAAGCCAGCGTCGCCGCGCCTCTTCGGCTGCCAACATGGGCATGACGACCTCCGACACTACGCCTACTGCCCCGTCGCGGCGCGGCTCTGCCGCACGCGGCTGCGCCTCCAGCAGGGCCCCCCAGCATCGCGACTGGACGAGTTCCTATTGCTGGGCGGAGCGCCGCCGCGCACGTTGGCCCTCCGCGCTCTCGGTCTGCGCGCGACCTTCAGGGCCGCCGACGCAGCGCGGCACGGGCAGACCTCCGCCACGGGCGCTCGGCCGCAGGCGGTGGCAAACGGCGCGGCCTTCCAGGCCCTTTTGTCCGAGCATTTCGCCAACCGGGCCCGGTAGGGCAACGCGACGCCTACAGCAGCCGCCACATCAACGACTGAGGGCGGTCGTGGGTCGTGGCAATGCCTCTCTCCACTCGCCCCCCCCCCCACCCCGCCCCTGCCCTCGAATCGTCGCCATGCTGGTCCTTGCGCGTGCCCCCCCTGGGCCCGGGGCCATTGCAGTTTTCCCTTTCTTGCGCCGGTGGCTTCGCGCGCGCGGTGTCCTCGACAGCGCCTGGCTTCCGCCGGACAACCACACGGGTTGCGATCTGCTCTCTTTTTCCCCTCTCCATTCCCACCCCCTCCTCTCCCTCCCTCGTCTCCCCCTTCGTCTGCGCTTCTCTTCCAATGACATGTTCGCATTCTAATGAGTCGCCACTGCGCGCGGCCCCCTCGCGAGCACGCCGTTGGTCAGTTGGGGGCCCGGACCCGCGGGAGTCGGTCTGCGCTGGTCCGGGATTTGCTTTGTCATTCCCGCTTTCCTCTGCCCCACCCCCACCCCCACCCCCCCCCCCCCCCCGCCCGCAGCCCCCCCCCCCCCCCCCCGCGCGACCGCCCAGACCCTTGCGGCGGACGCTTGGAGAAGCTAGGGCAAGACCCCTCGCTTCAGGCGCGAGCGCGCGGCGGCATCCAGGTACCCACGCAGGCGCGCGCGCGGGGCGGCGCCCAGGCGTCGCGCGCGCGGCGCTAGATGATACGATTTCGAGCCATTCTCGCATCAGCCCTGCCGCGAACCCGACGGCCGCTTTGGGCCGCCCACCAAGGCCAGACACTGTGCGACGAAAGTGCCCTGTCTTGTGATTTGTCGTAAAGTGTCCGGCGTTCGCCTGGCTCCATAAAAAACGGTTTACTTCTATGCAATGTTCATACAGATATAGAGATACATATATATATATATAGCACGACCAGGCGGACGATGGACGCCAGTCAGCTCATGAGAGCTCCGACCGCAGGCGACATCTGCCACCCGTCCCGGGCCGCCCAGGCCACGGCGAGAAACGGGGGGCAGGGCGCGATGGCAATTTAGGAGATCCCCAGCGGGCGCAATCCAATGGAAGCAAGCGACAGACAAGGTGGGAGGGAAGGGAGAGCCTGAGCCGCGCGCCGCGGGATCGCACTCGCGGAGCGTGACGCCTCACATTCGGCATCCCGACGCCCGAACCTCGCGCGCTTACAGATGCGAAATCAACCAGCACGACCAGACGGACGGAGAACGCCAGTCAGTTTATGAGAACCCCGACCGCAGGCGACATCTGCCATCCTTCCAGGGCCGCCCAGGCCAGGGCGAGAAACGGGGGACAGGGCACGATGGCAACTTAGGAGATCCCCCGACTCCCGCAGCATAGACTAGGCCGCCAAGGCCGAACCAAAAAGTCTAAACTGGAAACGAAACAAACGAGCGTTCACCCGAACGCCCCGAGAAACCCCCGAAAGGATAACCCGAGGCGAGGGTCCACATGCAAACGCCGGGAGCCTTGAATTATGAACTTCGCTGCGGCTCTCGCGAATCTCGGGGGGTAGGCAGCGGCAGGGGCGGTCCAGTTTTTACCGCCTGGAGTTTTCCCAGTCGAGAAAATATGGGGCGCGTGGGGCTGGCAACAGACCCTCGTCGGCGCACGCACTTCCGAGAAAGGGCGGGGAGAGAAGGAGAGAGCGAAGCAGAGATACGGGCAGGCGTTTGCCATCTCGCTCCGAACTGACACATGTGAAGACTGGCCAGTTGGTGCCCAGGCTCATTGCATAATTGTGACATTTTCGGCGCGGACCAGATCAAAGAGGAGGCTGGGTTCTCGACGCATGCAGAAACCCAACGCAAAACGCACACCTGGATACTCCTACAACTGAAACGGAAGGTGGCATTTCCCGCGGCGAATTTGGCTTGTTCCACAGTCGATAGTTCGCGCGCGGGGGGGGGGGGCATGGGCGCGGCGCGCGAGCGCAAGGGATGTCGGAATTCCAACCACGGAACAGATCTCTCTGTCTTTTTTTTCCCTCTTTCTCTCTCTCTCTCTCTCTCTCTCTCTCTCTCCTTCTCTCTCTCTCTCTCTCTCTCTCTCTCTCTCTCTCTCTCTCTCTCTCTCTCTCTCTCTCTCTCTCTCTCTCTCTCTCTCTCTCCTCTCTCTCTCTCTCTCTCTCTCTCTCTCTCTCTCTCTCTCTCTCTCTCTCTCTCCTCTCTCTCCCTCTCTCTCTCTCTCTCTCTCTCTCTCTCTCTCTCTCTCTCTCTCTCTCTTTCTATGTATATGTATATATATATATAAAGAATGTCTACATATATAATATGTCCAGGTGATTTTCGCCAGCCGAATTGTTTTGAATCACGGTCCACGGCCGAGCAACCTCGGGCCCGAAGGGCCATAGACAGGCCCCAGACCCCGCGCAAAGTTCAAGGAAAAACACGGCATCGAGACAGATTGTTGGACCCCCTTTTCTCCAGATTTCATTCTTGAGGCGGCGCTGCAGGTGGGCTCGAATTCCAATGGGGGAGAGGGGGGAAGGATTGCTCACAGACCGCCCGCCCGGGCGGCGGCATGAAGCCCGAGGCGCGTCCGTCTGGCCGCCCGCCAGGCTGGCAGGCAAGTCGCCGGGGCGACGTGGCCGACCCTGGCCCCCATGACCCCTTCCGACCGCGCGCGCGGCCCAGACGCGCCCCAGCATGAGATGTCCCAGACGAAAGACGCATCCGTGGATGGCGCTCAGCTCGGCATGCAGCTCGGTCTCTTGTCCGCATCTGTTCAAACTCTTCGCAGACGCCCAGCTGCCCCTCAACTGCACTTGGAAAGCGTCGCGGCGCCGAGCAAGGAGGTCGTCCGAGGCCCCTCCGCGTCGGGAGCAACGCGGGTGATCTGACGCCTGCGGGGGGCCCAAGGAGCCCAGGCGCCGGCTGTGCTTGAGCCGCAAGGCCGCGGCCGTGAACGACCGCGGTCTGCCCTCGGCGGCCAACGACGCCCGCGGGTTCTCCAACGCAGAACCAGCCACGGTCCTAAGTCGATCAGCACGCTCCGGTCGCTCAGCCCTGTCTTGCCCGGCGCCAGCTAGGCCGCGTCGCGCAGCGGGGGGCCCCAGATGCGGCACTGGCACCCCGCTGCAGGCGACGTTGGGACGAGGCCCCCCCCCCCCTTCAGCTCGAACGTTTCGCCCAGGCGAAGATGCGCCGCAAAGGAGCCACCCATGCCGCTACCCAGGGGGCGCCCGCCTCTACCAGGAGTCCAGGAGCAAGCACGCGGCCCTCGCCACCGCCTTCGGCATCTGCAGGCGGGCCCCAGCGGGCGCCTTCCGTTTCCGCGCGACCGAGGCCCGCGAGGCTTGCGGCCACTGCACCTTCCACGCGCCGCGGAGGCACGAGTAGACATGAGACAGGCTGGCCAGGAGCTGCGCCCCGTGGAAGGACGACGCGCCCCGGTGAAAACTGTCGCTCAGGTACGGGGCCAGGATCGAGCCCATCTCCTCCGCCGATCTCCAGTCGAGGCCCTTCTGGGCGCAGTGCTTCAGGAAGGCCGTCGCTGATTTCTGGTAGAGCGCCCCCGTCGGCGGGCGAATGGCGGTCTGCTCGAGGACAGCGAGCGAGCCCGCAGGCTCCTTCTCGGCGGCCAGGCGCTGGGCAGCGGCCACGCGAGACTCGCTCTGGTCATTTGCCGTCGCCCTCGCCCGCCTCGGAGCAGCCCGCGGCGTCGCCCTCGGATAGGAGGCGGCGGGCAGCCCTGCTGCCTGAAAACCAGCCGAGGCGGCCACGGGAAAGAGCATCCGAAGGGATGCGCTCGCCTGGGATTCAACGGACACGCAGGCGGCATCCCGATGCTAAGGACAAAGAGGCAATCGTCCACATCACAGTCTGGAGATGGACCGGCCTCGCGCGGCCCTTGCAGCAGGCCAGGGCGAGACACATAGCGTCAACGAGGATCGCCGCCCCCCGCCCGATGGCGGCTGCAGCTCGCAGGGTCACGACGTCGGCGGCGCACCCAACACGCACGGCCAAGACATCCCCCCAGTCCTGAGGCCCCAGGAGGTCCGCGGGGATTTCCTCGAAGAGCAGGGGATCCACGACCACGAACCCTTTGGGCGCGTGGTTTGGCGGGCTGGCGGCAGCCCCCACGTCGACGATCGCCGAGCCCCTCAGAGCACCCCGACTCCCGAAGAGCATTAGGGCGAGCCTTCTCAGCGCCGTCCACCCAATACCTCACGCGTTCACTGACGCGACCCAGTTCAGCGACTCACTCGACACACAGGTTGCGATGATACACGCCCAGGTCGCGCGTTCACTGACGCGACCCAGTTCAGCGACTCGCTCGACACACAAGTTGCGATGATACACGCCCAGGCCGAGCTCCGAAGCGCCCGAAGGACAGATCTGCAGATGCCACCCAGCACGCAGACCGGTAGTGAGGAGAGGGAGACTAGCTACGAATCAACGAAGCTCTAGCGCCCGCTAAGGCCACGGGGGGGTCAAAATTTCATTTGTCGCCTCGATTAAAGCGTAACAGGCATTGAGAATAGACGAGGCCTCTCGGCGCACCATCGAGGACCAGGCGACGTGCCCAACTAAGACCCGAGTGAGACCCCCGGGCCAGGATGCGCCCCAGAGCGAAACGCAAGCGCCAGATATTTCGAGGTTTCACGGGCAACCAGCGGCCGTCGACAAGGGAGAGCCCAAGAGAAGGAGCGCCCCGAGACGGCTCGCACACTTCGCGCACAAGAAGGCCAACATATTTGAGCTCGGCACTGACACGGTTGAAGGCTGCCTCGACATCACCGCGAAACTGCCCTAAAACAAGAAAGTTGTCAACGTGCCCTGCAGCAGCGGTGTCGTCGGCAATCATGAGAACAACGCCTGGCCCCCCGTCAGAGAAAACGAGCAGGACCAAAACCAGCCTCATGGATCGCATCGTAGCTTGACAGAAGTGCAGAGCAAAGAGAATCCCATAGGCATTACAGTAATGCAAGGAAGGAGGGAGTGCCCTGCGGCATGAGGAACCCCTTTCCAAACCAAACGACATGAGTCCACGAGCAACCCCGAATCAATCGGCGGAAGCGAGAACCATTCTACCATCTCTGGTAGGACACGCATGTGATATAATGACGCGGCCAGGCAAGGCCCCCCCCTGGACTCGATGGCAGAAACAGCAGAGACCGACGGGAGGCGAGTAGAAGGAGGAGACCGGGAGAAGCACTTGGCAACTCTCGCATCGAAGATGAGTCGTAGCTGATTCAATTTCTCGGCAACGCGAAACACTCCGAGAAGACCCTTCCGCCCTCGCGCAGGCTGAAACGCGCGCATTCAGCGACGGGCGAGCCGGGCTGAGAAGTCGGCATAGGTAGAAGGAGAGTGAGCAAGCCCGGGGTACATGTCGGCCCCTTGAGGCCACGCCTCTTGCACCAGCTATTGGGCCTCCGGCATTGGCCCCAGCACGTGCGATCTCCAGTCCATAAGCGACGAGGAATCAACCTGCGAGAGCAGCTGACGCAGGTCCGCAGGGGCCGCGCCCTCATCAGGCCACGCGCCGAGGTCGCGAGAGCAAGGGCGGGTGGGGCCTGCGCCCCCACGCACAAATAACGATTGCTCAGGAGCTCGCCGACGGGCCCTTTAAGCGAAGCCAGCCTCGCTGGGAGGAGGGCCGAGGCGGCGAAAGCAATCGCTGCAACGGTCGGACACCTTTTTCTGAGGAAGAGATGATGGAAGGTCAGCAAGCCCGCTGCACCCCGCCATCTGGTCGAGAGCGCGCACGGCGGCGTCGCTGGCCCAGCGGGCGGAATTCTGAAGGCGCCGGCGGCGGCGAGTAACAGCCCGACTCAGGCCCGGAGCGGCGCGGGACGGGATGTCGAGCAGAGGAAGCGGGGAGATATCTTTCTGCCGATACTCGCCGGAAGAAGGGCTCAAAATCTTGCTCGAGCCTGGGCGCCCACCCCCCGGGCCCGGGGGGGGGGGCTCGCCAACCATCTCTGGGCCCCGCGCCATCTTCGCCGCCTTTCTTGGCGCCTTTCTTGGCCGAGGCCCGCTCCTCGCGCGCCTGGCGGCGCCCCTTTGAAGTTTGGTGCCCCTTTGACATCCGATATTTCACGCAATCTGCTAGCTGGGGGCTCACGCAGACAAGCCCTCGGACCATGTCCGTGCCCATGTGCCAATGGTTGTCGGCGACCCCCGATATCGCTCTTCCCGAACTTGAATCACGCGGCACAAAGACTCGGCACACGCCAAATGTGCGACCATAAGTTGATCGCGCAGTGCAATTGTTCGAGCATGCGGCACGCCCGTTCGTGCTCATCAACCCAACGTCCGTCGATGAGAACCTGGTATCCGTTCGAAACTTTGTGCCGCCCCATCGGGCTGCCCCCGTTCTGCCCCATCAACCGCAACGCCCACATGGCGGCCCGCGGACCCCAGATCGGCCAGTCGGGCCAAGCGTCCTCGCGCCAAGGGCGGCGCCGAGGGCCGGGGCCGCCGCGGCGGCCGTGACCGCGCGCGCAGCGGCGGCGGCGGCGGCCGGGGCGCCCGCGAGGGCCACGCGGCCCGCGGCGCCCGCGGGGGCTAGGGCCCGCACGGCGCCTGCGGTGGGCGCGCCCGCAAAGGCCGCCGGCGGCCCCAGACCCCCTGGCCCTATGGCGGCGGCGGCGCCCATGGCAGGCGCTGCCAAGGGGGCGAGTCCGCCGCCCGGCGCGAGGCCCGCGGCCGCGCCGCCCGCTCCACCGCCTGCCGCAAGCGCACCACCAGGCGCCGCGGGCGCAGGTCCTGCCAGGGCGGAAGCCAAGCCGGCGACGCCGCCTGCAGCTCCGCCTGGAGCGAGCCCAGGTACTCCAACAGCCGCGGCAGCCAAGCCAGCGAACCCCGGGCGGCCCGCCATGTTCACCGAGAAGCCCGCCCTCAACGGCAGGCCGAGGCGGTTGGCGGCGGCATCGCGAAGCCCGGGAGTGGGTGGAGTGCGGTTGGGGTCGCCGGGAGTCAATATATTGACAACGGGCAAGGCCCCAGGCAGGAGCAGCAGGATAATGCGTTCATGCCATATCCGAGGCCCTGGAGCCCCATAGCGCACGGCAGTCACATCGCCCTCCTCTAGACCGGGAATTTGCAACGGATTTGCCATATCGTCTACGAACGGGCCGAAAGATTGCGAGACCGAAACCGAACCGCCTGATCACGAGCGATGTCCTGTAGCGAGACGACGGGCAAGCACTCGCGCTCTGACAGCTTGAAGGGCAGGCCCCTGCGCTGGCGACCGAAGAGGTAGCCCGCGCTCCAGTCCAGGTTGGACAGCACACGAAACGATCAGCACCACCCACAGAAACGGACAGGCACACTCCTCCCGCACCACTTCCTTCGCTGTCTCGCCGGGGCCGCAGACCAGCTGCGGCGCGCAGTGCCAGTCTGGGCAAGGCGGCGCGGGCCGCGATCGACCCCAGACCACCGCGGCGGCGTTGAGCGCTCGCGAGCCCTCCGCCGCCAGCACCTGGGCCAGCGCCTGCATGCGCGATCGGGCGACAGGTGAGCACCTCCCTTTAGAGCTTGAGCCGCGTGCCGCGGGATCGCACACGCGGAGCGTGATGCTTCGCATTCGGCACCCTGACGCCCAAACATCACGCGCTGACAGATATGGCATGAACCATAAACATATATATAAATATACATACACATACATATACGTATACATATCGTAAATCCCCCGCGGTGAATCGAGGCCATTTGCGAGTAGTTAATTTGCGAGTAGTGGAAGGCGCTCGTGTATTCGTCGTAATCTGGTCTCGCCCTGGATCGGTCGCCCAGAGAGCAGCCTGGCCTTCGCGGCAACCCCGCGCGCGTCCGAAGAGGTGGCATGCAACCGCATCGCGTTCATAATGGAGGGAGCAGGAGGTGTCCGACCCCTTGCCCCGCTTGGAGTTCTCCGTCGAGTGCTGCGCCGCCTGCGGCGACGACCGATGATTGCAGCCTGGCAGCGCCAAAGCTCGCGGCATTTCCCCCGGGCCACCAAGGGGCGATCGCCCGAGAAATGCGATTGGATATCCAGTGCCTGGTCCGCGTTTTGCATTATCCAGGGGCAGCATTCGGGAACGATGCTGCTCGAGCGCTCGGGCTCGTTCAACGCCATCATCTGTTGCAGGCTGCCATCGATGTTTACCGGGCCCCTCGCACCCCGGACCTCCGAGAGGCGCGCAGCGAGTTCATCCGCGCGAAACAGACGGTGGCCCCTGGGCGCGCGTTTGCTACGCTTCTGCGACAGTTGCTGCTTCAGGGCCCCTGGACAAAGTGCGAGCCGCGCGCCGCTCGGCGGCATTGTCTGTCAACGTTGACGATTTCGGCCTCCAGCGCTTCGGTGGCGAGGAGCGCGTTGGAGACGAGCTCTGCGAAGCTGCCTCGCTTCTGGCTATACTGAGCCGGCAAGAGAGGGCACGCGGCTCGCCGCAGGCAAGAGCAGGGCCCTCAGCAACTCCAAGACGCTTCGCACTCGCATCGCCCGTGGTCTTCGGAAGATTGGCGCTCTTGCTGCGGCGACGGAGCGCAATCTCGGAGTCGACCCCGCTTCTGGAAGAGCCCAACCCAGTCGCGCCACCAAGGCCAGGTAATTACATTGCCGCCAAAAAAACGTCGAAGCCACATGTCCGCGCTGAAGTCAGGACGCACACGTAGGGGGGCCCACGGGCAGATGAGTCGAGCTGCGCTCGAAG